GGTGCTTGCTGCAGTGCAAACACTGCAAGAGCTACAGCAGGAAAGCTGGAGGCTTCCCAGGAGTGCTTCCAAGTGCAAGTTTTCCTGCGGTGTCCAGGCTCGGGACAGAGATCAGCAGTGTTTATATGAGCACTGGGATGCTGCAGTCTGAATTCCTGCCTTCTCTTTCCTGTTGTTTTCACCAGATATGAAATTAAGCTGTCAAATTGCACCATTGCTGGCTGGCACAGCCTCCTGCCCAGCCCTGACCTGACCCTGAATGTGCTCTTAGAAACTTCCAGTGCTGTGAAAATACCAGCAGGTATTAGGGACTGAGTCATGGCATTAACAGGGTTATTATATTCATGACTGGACAGATTCCTTGCTCAGGATGGGGTTTTGTCCTTCCACCCTGCCTTGCTCAGCTTGTCTGGAGGGTTGGGCATCCCACACTGGTGGGATGGATGTGCTGGTGGGCTTGTGGGAAGAGGATCTTGAACACTTCCCAGCTGATGAGCATTTCTCACCATTCCCCACAGGGCTTGGGGCGCTCCCCATGGGCATGGCAGTGGGAGAGCAGGCTCTGGGCTGTGAGCAGCCACATCACTCCGTGTTTCAGCTGCAGCATCACCTGGCAGCGTCCATGGGGAGTGCTTGGGGTGTCCTGTGTTTCCCTGCCATGCCTTGAAGGGACCCATAGAAAAAGAGAAAATGTTAAGCAGGTCCTGTTATGACAGGACAAGAGGTTTTAAACTAGAAGAGAGTGGCTTTAGATGAGAGATAAGGAAGTTTCTGAGAATGAGGGTGGTGAGGCCCTGGCAGGGGTGCCCAGGGTGGCTGCCCATGGGGCTTGGAGCAGCCTGGGCTGGTGGGAGGTGTCCCTGCCCGTGGCAGGGGTTTGGAATGAGATGGGCTTTGAAGGTTCCATCCAGCCATAACTATTCCATGATTCTGTGATCCTTCTGTTCTCTAAAACTTCTCCTGTAAATTTCCATAGCCTCTGCCCTGGCATTTAACCAACTCCCTCTTCACCTGCAAGGGCTTGGGGCTGAGAAATGTCACCCTGTGCTTGTGGAGATGTTTGTCAGGGCCTGGAGGGTTTTCTGATCCCTGGCTGAGCTCTTGGTGTCCCTGATCCCTTGAGCCCAGGCTGGTCTGAGCTGCAGGGGCTGCTCCCAGTGGCTTTGGGGACAGCTGTCCCTTTGGGGACAGGCACTGTGTGAGCAAGGTGATGCAGGATGGAGAGGAGCAAGGCTGTCACTGCAGGGGGGACAGGGCAGGGGGCCCCAAGTGCCATCCTTTGGGTGGCATGGCAGTGATGGTGGCACCCAGCCCTTCTTCCTGGTGCTGCCTCCTTGCCAGATCCTGTCTGGCTGGTTTGGCTTTGCACACCAAAGCCTGCACAGGGTCAGGAACTGGGTCAGCAATTAGCACTCAGGGTTAATTGCTGCCAGCACTGGCAGCTCCAGGATGATGGCTGAGCTCACTGGCTGCCCTCACTCGGTCCTGAAATCAGCTTGTGCAGGGATGGGAGCGAAACTTTGCATTTCAGAGCAGCCAAGGACGGGTGTGGGGTTTAGCAAGGGGGCAGAGGGGGCATTTCCAGGGCCCGTGGCTCCCCCACAGCCCCCGGGTGCCCTCGGGCTCGAGGTGACGGAGCCGCTTTGCGCAGGGGAAGTAAAACGTGGTCCAGAGCGTGACTTTGTGCAGGTTGGTGCTTCCTGCTGAGCTGCAGGGAGTTAATAACAAACTTCCCTGCTCCCTGCTCCCTCCAGAGTCCGGTGCCTTTGGCAAGACCCGGTGTTGATGTTTTAAGGATGGCTGATGAAAGTGGCATTTCCTCACAAGGCTCCGTGCTCGGGGCTGGCAGTGCCACAGTGTTGGGGAGGATGAA